GGGAAAACATATATATATATATATATTCGACACGTTCTACTTAAAACACGTGCCATGGACGTTATTTTATGGTATTTATTGTTCAAGATGACTAATTGGAAACCATTAAGAATTTTTTTTTTTTGATGTTTACTGCAAAAAAAAACCTACAAACAAATACTTTACACTATTTCGGATACACAAACATTGTTTTAAATCTTGACTGAATTCACTGACCGTTGGTCAATCAAAATGGCCAAATGTACCATTATTACACAAAACAATACATTCAAAATGATGTAAATGGTAGGACAATTATGAACAAACATTCAATGAAAATACGAACAAAAGAAAGAGAGATTTTTTTCAAATTTAAAACTACACACATATATAGTACCTTATTCAATTCAATTTAGTTCAATTTTTATTTTTATAATGAAAAAAAACGGTTTCTATTTATGTTTCTATGGCCAGTTCTCCATTACAATAACATGATGAAAATAACGAAAAAAAAGACAAAGATTGTATGATGAAAAATAAAAACTTTTAAACAATAAATTATTATTTTGACTGAATAAATGAATGTAAAATAAATTGTGAAAGGAAACGGAAACATTTTCTTCATTCGATGATAAAAATGGGAAAAAAAATCTGTTCCTACATCAATTGAGATGTCAGTAACTTGTCAAAATATTAACTCTGTGTCTGGATATAATAATAACAATAACATAATAAAAAAAAATCTTCCAAAACGATATTAAAATAGTTTCTACAGAAAAAAAAACAATCTCAAATTGCAGAAGCATCGACACAAGGCAATCAATCATTTTTGCCATTCATTGACCTTTCACCTTATATGATCCAAATCAGAGATATATGAGAGACATACGACCGTTCATTCATTTATTCATCAATGATGACGATCATCAGTGATTGTTGCCATCATTCGTCTATTTTTTTCTCTTAAATGAGTCTATTAAATGACAACGTCAAAAAATGAACAGTTTAACTATGATGACAATCATTGATCGTATAGGATAGAAGTGGATGTAAGATTTGATCAATATACAATATTCCGTCAATCATATATATTAATAGATGTCATAATAATAATAATAAAAATGATCAAAATGAATATATATTCCTGCTACACTTATTTTTGAAACAGACACACAGGATTTAATAGTGTTTGACCTTTTTTCCAGGACCCAGTGGATTTAGACAAAAGATGAAAAAAAAATTGAACGATAAATCGAAATATTATTATAAAAGAGAAACGATGAACAAAAAAAATGAACAACATACACATTTATATATGATGCACGTGCACGAGGCACGTACATCATCAATTCTAAACGTTTTAAATTTATAAATCATTCAAACCCAAACACACACATAGAAAGAACTTAGATGGTTAAATCGGTTAAAAATTTTCAAGAGTAAAATTTTTGAAACCGTGAAAACTAAATCGTTAAGCTAGATTAGAAATATAGCTTGATAAAACTATCAAATGGGTTGCATAGAAACAAAATGGATTTTGACAACAACAACAAAAAAAATTAACATTGGATAACAATATTCCACACTGACCATCAGAATAACTCACTATCAATAATAACGAGTAACCGGTCAACATTTGGTCAATTTAAAGAAAAAAAGGGTAACGGTAACTATGTCACCATAACTGTCATTTTCAATTTAAATTAAATATATATGGAATCTAGAAATGAACATTTTTTCTTTTCATTCAATCAATTAAATTCCCAAGTGGATTTATATGTGATGACCATTTTGATGATTCATAGAGGTCAATCGAAAAATGAATAGACAGTGAAAAAAAAATTATACGTATTCATACATTTATGCATGTGATTTGATGTATTTTCATCGAAATTATAAAATGAAAAATATACGATACTTTTTGTGAACAGGATTGAATTTCATCATCATAATGCTGTAATGCTATGGTAGCTAGTTAGTATACTATACACTTGTCAATACAATGTATTATGAATTTATTTTATGGATCAATTTGTTTGAAAAAAAACTTTCAAACAACAAGACAGACAGGCCTAAATCATAAGCTTTGATGTATTGTGCATTTTGTTTCTGCACAATTAATAATTATAACTTATGAGATTATAGACAATTAAAGTTAATAATAATAATTTTTTTTTTTGCTCTCCAGGATTTTGTTTGGATATTATTAATTAGAAACAAAATGAATTGAGAACCAGATCACCATCATTCAAACAGAACAGAACAAAACGAGGTTGATAATATGAAAAAAAAAAGAAAAGAGAGAAAAAAAAACAAAAAAAAACCTAAACTTGTGATATTCAGTGATTTTTTTTTTTTTTACTTTCTCATCATCCGCCACCACCACCACCACTGTTTTCTATCGGGTTCTGTAAACTGAGCATCCATATATCATCTACAACCAAGTATATATGATAGAGCGGTAGAATTTGATCCGATCTCTAGTTTCTACTATTTTTTTTTTTTGTTGTTCGGAAGCAAAAATATTCTGTTGCCTTTACAATGTATTTATCATCAGCATTTTGATGATGATAGTATTGAATCGAAAAAAAAATCAAAGTCAATTTAATTTTAGTTTATTTCTATTATCATTTTATGATGATGATGATGATGTTGAAGAGATGATCTTTTTTTTAGACCGGGGCGTCGGCAGCATATTGGTGAACGTGAACGAAAAAGTTTGTTGTATGAAAAAGTTTTTCTCTGTTTGTGTGTGTGTGATGTTCGGTTATTCTGTTTGTTTATATATGTATGTATATGTAATAATAATGTACCCGAAAGACAATAAATTATTTAGGGACTATGAAAAAAGAGAGAGAGAGAGTAAGAAAAAAAAACAGCTTTTGGCTGCTTGATGTGTATATGTTTGGTTATAATATTATATTAATAATAATAATATAAAACAACAATAACTGCTACTACAAATAATAATAATAATAATAATGAGAGAAAACCAGAGCAAGTAATGAAACAGGAAAAAAATCAGCTTATGATCCATTCAAACAGACCTGGCAGAAAAAAAAACTTGTATGAACCAAAAAAAATGGTATGAAACATATATTTTGTCCCTATTTACAATGGAATGAAATCTGGTTTGTGATGATGATGATGGAATCATAACTTTTTTTCTATTATTATGGAATCAGATTTTCGATCCAGAAAAAACAATCATCATCGATAAAAACAAAAAAAAAAAATAGCAGAAAGTTTGTTAATTATTCATCAAAAAATCATAAATTTTTTTCTCGTTCGAGAGATTATATATTTATCAACTGGACATTTTTTTTATTGGATTTGAAAGCCAAATATTATTGGGTTTTATTGATTATATGATGATACCTGATGATACCCTAAATATTTGGGCAATGTGTTACTTTGGTATGAATACCGGTTCGATAATTAACTATGCAATTCAGCAAAAAAACAGAAAAATGAAAATCATGAAATAAATTTTTTTTTTTTAGTTATTATCATCATCATCGTGTAAAGACCACCATCAGCGTGAAACAGATTTCATTTCAATTTTTTTTCTGGCAAATCAACAACAGTAATAATGATGGAAACACAATAACTTGATTGGAATTCTTTTTTTTGTTGTTATTATTCATTTAGCATCATATATTATGAAAAAAAATAATTATCGATTACGATTGAAATGATTTATAGAAATTAATCGAAGAAAAATACACACACACACACACACACGAGTTCTCATGTACATTTCACTGGCTATAATAATCATCATCGTCGTCATCATTTTCTCATTATAAAAAGACAAGATTACCAGTGAATAGTGAATAAAAAAAAACAAGTTATTATTTCATACAAAATCTCAAAATAGAATGTGACTTTTTTTCACAAAAAAAACTTTTTTCATATATATGAATCATATGGGCATCATAAAATTTATTGGTTCCTTTTTTCTATTTAAAATTTTTGAACGAAGAAAAAAAAAGAAAAAGAAAATTCAAAATAATGAAACTGAAGTGTACTGGTTTTTTTTCATTATTCAAATTCAATAAATAATATTTCAATTATAAACATGGCATGAAGCCAAAAAAAAAACAAAACAAAACAAACAAAAAATCATCTAATGAAGAGAGAAGAGGTAAAGTTGTGGAGACAAATAAAAAAAAAGTAAGAAAAACAAAAAATTTATTCATCGATATCAAATATGACTGTTGTTGTTGTGATTTGATTCTTTTAACCAGTGGATATAAATTTTAAAAAAATGTTTGTGGAAATACAACACAGAGAGAGAGAGTTGTGTGTCATGTGTCATCCATGACATATATATCATTTATGTTATGATGGCAAAAAAAAAAAAATACATGGCTCGAATATCATCATCATCATCATCATCATTGATATTGAATGATGATGATGAAGTTTAATTATTGTTCACGCATCAAACAAAAAAAAAGAAAGATTTTTTATCTTTCTTGTTCTCCATATACGAAAAAAAACTAACATTCAAGTGAAATGAAATGAAATTCTTGCCATCATCATAAATGAACAATTTGTGAACGAAAAAAAAGGCGTCCATTGATTTACAGCTCAAAAAAAATGAAATTTTCCATCAAAAACAACACTGAATATGTATCTTGTGATTATAAAAATATTTGTGTGTGTGTGTGTGTGTGTGTGTTTATATGACAGGTATATAAAAATTATGACAAGTGAAACAGGCATATGCAGTGAAAAACATGAGTAAAAAAAATAAAAAATAAAAATAAAAAATAAATAAATAAAAATAAAAATTTCAAAAAATGAAACCAAATGAATATTTTTTTCGATTTCAAACATAAGATAAAAAAAAATAAACATGGTGGATGTATGGAACAAGATTGGCAACATTTCAGCCATCATCATTATGGGCATGACAAAATATTATTTTTTGAAATAATTTATGCTATTGTATTTTTGTCATTTCGTTTGTCATCATCATCATCATCATAGTTGTTGATTATGATAGCGATGGTGGTGATTACCATCAAGATATTGATGAGAGGCAAAAGTCAACTTATTATAACCATATTTTATCATAAATTATTTTTCAATATATGCAACTAAAACAAAGTGAAAAAAAAAATACTAAAATTAAAATGCCCAATCCTCATATACTAAAACTAAACTTGTTACATGGATTTAGGATAGATTTACTTGATTTGAAATATATAAAATTATTAAATTTTTAGCAAGAAAAAAAAAATCTGATAGCACTTACCAGAATTATTTTGTTGTTGTAATGACTGTTGTTGATTATTAGAATCACTGATTATAATATTGCTGCTATCCTTATTGTTGCCGATTTTGTCACTATCAATGTCGATATCGATATTTCCGTTAACTTTATTTATCTCACTCTGTTCGTCTTCTTCGTCTTCGGATGTTGTAGCGTAATGTTTTGGCCGAGGCTGTTTACGACGTGACATTATCAAAATAGGATCAACACTTAATGAATGTGTATTTTTTTTGTTTTGTTCTGTTCCTGTGTGTGTGTATCTTGCAGATTGGTGAATTGAATGTGATTGATGTTTAAATGTCAACAATTTACCGTTTGTTGAATAAAATGATCAAAATTATAATCTATATCATCATCATGATCATAGAAGTTGATTGTATGATTAAATTTATTGAATTAACTGTCATTCAATTGTTGAATTTATTCCATTTGATGATGATGATGATGATGAATATACCTGAACAATGGAAAGAGAAAAATAAATAAAATCATTTAAAAAAACATTAAAATATTTTCTTTCTAGTCAGAAATGAAAGAGCAAAAATCAAACAAAAATTTCATAAAATGATCATGATCGATGTTTATGATGATGATGGAGATAGAATATTGACGATGAAAAACAAAGGAATGCATGTAAGATGATATAGTCTTCTATACAATCAATCAATAATATTTATTAGATATTTTTCAATCATAAAGAAATGGCAGAAAAAAAAGTTAACACATAAGCGTGATATTGAATTTTAAATGGAATGATGATGAAAAGAAATGAAAAAATACATGTGGCAAATGTAATATGTTTATGATTGCTGTTTTCTTTTTTTTTTTTTTTGACTGACAAAATAAAAATTTTGTGGTCGGTAAATATTGAATTTTTTTTCAAATAATGAATAAATTAACAACCAGCAGCAATATAGCTGCTGTAATCGATCCATAATATGTGTGTGTGTGAGTGTGTTTGTGTACCCAGGAAAATTACCTTGTCCATGGAATGTTTGCACATTTGTGAATGTGAATGTGAAACACGTGTAATAAGTTCGACAAAAAAAATTTCCATTGTCTATTTTTTTCAATATCATGATGATGATGATGATGATGATGATGATGATCAAGATAATTTCACTTGAAATAAAAATAAAATAAAATTTGAATGTAAAAATTGATGAAGGCAACGAAAAAAAAATCAATGATAAAACTTGATTAAAGTATGAGAAAAAAAGAAAATTAAATAAAATTTCCGTCAAATTTCCATGTGTCAAAACTACCACCCCCCAATCATCATCATCATCATCAAATAGCGGGTGTAATAAGCATTGAATCACACTTATTATTACAACATGGAAACAACGGAGTGAAAAAAAAAATTCCACTTTTTACCGATTATTAAATTGAAATTTTTCTTTCCCTCTATTCACTTAATGATCAAACTGGTGACTACACACACACACACACACACACACAAAACTGTTTTAACAATTAGTGATAAGCAAGAAAAACCCAAAATTGAAATTCAAAAAAAAAAAAATATAAAAAACCAAGTTGAATAATAATGATGAATATGAATAACTGTATTTAACCATGAAATAATCAATAAAATTATTCAATTTTAGACATATACACAAACACATTACAATCAGAATGAAATGAAATTATCACCTTAACCAAAAATTAATAACCAACATGCAATAATGACAATTTTTGTTTACTTAATATATCATAATGTTGTTATCATCCCTTGATCATAATGCAAATCTTTATCATTTATGGATGTTGATAAGAATTAATAATAATAATAATAATAATCAAGAACAAAATACATATCATACAACGTTTCCATTTATGTCACAAAAAAAAAATAATTAGCCAAACATTTTAAATATATACTGATACAGATTGAATGGTTGACCATATATTACAAAAAAAATTTTCTCCAAATTTATATTTTAAAATTCAAAACACACACACACACATAACATCAATGCTCATACATTCTAAGGAAAATGGAAATTACTGTCTTTGTATTTGTGTGCACAGAACCGAAAAAACACACTATGTAGTATGAGGTCCAAAAAAAAACCAATGGCCCCCTAATAAAAACCTACGCATTCATTCATTCATTCATTCATTCGGAAGAGAAAATAAAAAATGAAAAAACTATCACCAATTCATACGATAATAGATACCTATCACAATCAACATTTGGATGCATTCCGAATCTACAGGTAAGTATAAAATGATGGCGACGATGATGACATGGTTCCGAACATTATTATCATCTATATTATCATCATCATATACAATTATGGACTAATGGAACATTTAATGCACACACGCACACACACACACACACACAAACAAAAGACAAATGTTTGACACACAATTATGGACAGGAAATTGTAAAAAAATGATGATCATATGGAGACAGTGAAAACACTAAAAACACACACACACACACTTGTATCAAAATTATTTTTTGATTTCTCAAGAAATTCAAGTGAAAAATATACTTCTTTTTTCTGCTCCATTCAACATATGTGTGTGTGTGTGTGCCTACTACATGTGGTTATCAATGAATCGATCATCATAAAGTCATCATATATAAATAAATGTTGATAATGACAGACAACAAAAGAGATAGGAAGAAAAAACAAAAAAAAAATAATAATAACTACACCAGAGAATTTCTTATTGAATACATATTGCACATTTATTATTATTCCAAATAAACACACATCATCATTGTGATTTTTTACATTTTTTTTTATAAGCTGAAACCAATATGATAACTGGTATGATTATTACATTTTTTGCTGATACATATGCTACAATAAGAGATTATGATTATGATGATGATGATGATGATGATGATAGAAAACGTTTTTTTTTTTTTTTTGGTGATCAAAACATGATTAGACAGTCCAGACAGGTAAATAAATGTAAATACACACGGAATACACGCTCAATATTATTATTATTATTGTTGTTGTTGTTGTTTTTGTTGTCAATATTGATCGAATGATCGATCATTATTGTTCGGAGTAAAAAAAAAAAATTTTTATTCATGAAATACCATCATCAACATTCGATTAATAATCGATAATTTTTCAACTCCATAAATAGACGATGATGATGAGGAAAAAAAAAGATGGATAGAAATTCCTGGTGCAAATAGAAAGGAAAAAATTATAATAACCATCTAATGATCTGTCATATTAATCGCTTTATGAATGATGATGATGATGATGATGGCAATTGGCTAAAAAACAAATAAATCCACCAACAAATAATACAATCTCGATCATCATGATAAGAATAACAAAATAGTGATAGGAAAAAATGTAATCAAATTGACTGAAGAATGTATGCATAAGGTTCAAACAAACAAATAAAATATGTAAGATGTGCCATCATGAATGTATGGATCAATCGATGAGGATCAATTGTTGATTCGATCCAACTGATGATACTACATACAGGAAGATGATCATAACGATGATGATGAGAGGGAGAAAAATTTTTTTAATACGGTGGTCATGTTTGATTTTTTTCATCTGACCATTATTTTGTTTTTTTTTTGCATCCCTATGTTATGAATATAAATACATACATTTGCAAATATCATCACCATACATTTGAAATATCATTCATATTATATAAATGAATATTATGATGATGGGAAGAAAAAAAAATATCGGGAATGATGGAGATAAAAAAAATAAAACAAAACAAGAAAAAAAAAGCCGAACCATACCCGTCTATATTAATATTCATAATGATGAATATTTTTTTTTACATCATCGCTGTGGCATATCAAGCAAGCCAACAAGTGATTAAGCCCGAGAGAGAGAGAGAGAGAGAGAGAGCGAAAAACTCAAGATGATAAACAGATGACTGTCAGTTAGCTAATTTCAAGAGACATTTTTTTTTTTGGTCTCTTGTTTTTTTTTTTTTTGTAAATTTTCCATAATCATGTCTTTCTCGTTTTGTGTCTTGGTTTTTATTTATTCGGGTTAGTGTCTTGTATATTACTGATCATTAATGCTAAGAATAGATTTATATCCATATGCATGCATTTGTGTGTGCATGCATTATGATTGAGTTGAATTCACTACATTCATTATAATGTCAATTGATTAATGCAATTTACTATGTAACCATATAGTAAACATTGGACCAATATGGAAAATGAAAAATCATATTCCGAAAAAAATGTACACACACACAAACATAGAAAAATTTCAATTGACAAGATTGAAATATCATCATCATCATCATCATCATTTTATTTACACCAATGATTACAAACAATCTTATTATGTATATATGATAATGGTGATGTTGTAAATTATTATATCACACATATTATTGACATTGAAAACACACACACACACACACATACGCATTCCAAACCGAAAAATGAGAATATGACTATTCTTGGCGACGAAAGCCGCGACATTTTTTATTTTATATTTTTTGACAGCCAAAAAATATGGCCTCGAATTTTTTTTTTCGTTTGCTAGTCAAGAAGTAAAATTTTTGACAATTTGGCCACACACAAACACCGAGAAAAAAAAAAATGAAAACACCGGACACGATTTGCACCGACCTGCAATAATCATCATAAATATAGAAATCAGAAAATTGTTGACGAAAATCAAAACTTGAAGAAAAATGATTGCAATAATAAAAAAAAACAAAATCTCTGGGTCATATTTTTTATTTTTTTTTTTTGTTTCACCATTTTTAAACAAAAAATACCAATCAAGTTATCATTTTTCAGTTTTTTTTTCATTTCACTTAAAATAAATACAGGAGCTATGGGTTTGTTCCTATGTATAAAATATTGGCTCGCGAATTGCTATGAACCATTTGTTTTGTTTGTTATGGTTCAAAAACATTTTTTAGCTCCATTTTTTTTTATTTCATTGCTCTTAATGGCCTGGCTAAATGTTTGAACAAAACGGTCATTTACATATACATATGATGATAAGAAAAAGCTAGGACATTGCCGATGAATTCAGGGGCCATAAACAATTAGTGTTTGTGTGTACCGAAGACATTTGGTGGGGTCCAAAAAAAAACGAAACATATTCCAAACTGTATGAGTAGATTAGACCATAAATTGTCAATGGTCATAGATATCAACTAAACACACACACAGACACATTAGATTCTATTGGTAAATTCGACACTTGACAATCAGCAACAATTTAAATGACAAATCACTTGCCGTCAAAAAAACAAAAATGAAAAGAAAAACATTTATGACAAGTCTAATGTCATAAATGGTAAATATGAAAAAAATTGTATAAACAATAACGAAAAAATTATTGAATCACCA